GGATACACAATTTAATGGGTCGGCATTGGTGCCTTCGACCCACGAGTACCGTGAGGAAAACTCACCTCTCAGTTCGAACAAGTAGTTGAATAGGTCTCTACTCCAAATATCAGCTCTACCCGTCACCTATTTATCAAATAGTGACTAATCTCATATACAAATCAAAATACCCTTAGGTCAAACTTGGTCAAATTCTGGTCAAGTAAAAAAGTCAAAAAGTCAAAAATGGTCAACACAATTGAGTACGGCCAGCGTACGGAGCTTGTACACTTGGTGTACATGAGCATTGACCAAAACGGGTCGAGTTGACCTCGAACGCTAAGCGTTCCAGGGCTACGCCCAGTGTTCGAGATGGACTTCTTTCCTTTCTTATTAAGAGCTTAATCGTTAAGCTCTTTTACCCATATTCCAAATCTAGCCGTAAAATAACGTCCTTAACCATAAAGTTTCCAACTTTATGGTCTTGCATGACCATTAAGTGCCCAATATCAAAAACTCTAACTATTTAACCCATTAAGACCTTGTAACTCATGCATGGAAGGAAACTAACAATCAAGATTATATTTTTATGCTTCTAAATGCTAAAAAAAAAGTCTGAAATGACAGCTTATATGGATTAGAGTAATCCGTACTCATAATACCAAGCTTATGGGACCAAAAGAACACCATTTCATAACTAAAAAAGATCTAAACACCTCTTAATCAAGTTCAGATCTTTTTACCTCCAAATGATGCCAAATGATGTTGTTGTTCTAGATCCAGAGAGTCTCACTCCTCGAATATGATCTTCTCTTATTCCTCTCCTTCAAGGTTACCAAAACACATACAAATGCTCAAGAATTATCTAAAATGGATTAGGGTTTGCTTGGGGACGAAGGTGAGTTGGAGGCTGATGAAAAAATGCAGGTTTGGGACTTAAGGATGCTTAAATAGGGTTCAAACCCTAAAAATTAGGGTTTGCACTCTGGCCACCTACGCCCAACGTTCCTAGGGGAACGCCCATCCTACGTACCAAACTCCTAAAATTATGAAAATGCCATTTTGGTCCAATTTTGCAAATAATTCACATCCAAGGTCTAAAATGAAATAAATTCTCATACTTAGGGTTTAAAATGAAAATACCTCAATATCAAGATGTTACATTGAGTGCTTATTTAAAATAAATGAATAGTAATAAGTTATAAAAAAGCCCCCATTTGACATGCCCTTAGTCCCAAATAAGTCGAATATCGAATAAGTCTCATTTTGTGGTAGAGTGTGAGATCAGAGTGGAGTGTAGTAGTCCTCCTCTTTTTGAATGAACATTAATGGTGGGTCTAGATCATCCAACTAGCAAGTTTGTTTGGGTTATCGACCAGAGTAGATGACAACATTTAACTATTCTAGGCTGCCCAGTGAATTACGTTGCTAATGTAGACTTATAACCTACAGACATAGATAAAATGGGATACCAGATTTATCAAATACTTTGTACATTGGTTGCCTTAATATAACTTACACGGGCCAAGGACTCCCCTAGTTATGTAGTCAAACAGTTGCTCAGACGATTCATCAGGTAAGGTGATTCTTCCATATGATCATCGAGTTAGGATTTGTGAGAATCGATTGGGCATGATAGGTGGTTTTACATCAGATTATATACACCTATAATATTTGTTTGTAGGAATGTTATTATGATTTATAACTATTAAAATATTATGTGCTTAAAAACCTTATGCATCTCACCAGGTTTCTCAAATCTTACCCACTCAGTTTATATGCATCACAGGTAGTGGAACTAAGACTATTGGAAACTAATTAGGATGCTGAGTGAAATAAGAAATGAGTCTGTAATAGTATTTCAGGACCTTTTTATTATTTACTTTATAACCTATGTTTGGATATTAATTGTGACACCATGGAATTTTAATATAATGACATAACTTATGTTATCTCAAATTGTTTTAATTAAACTGAGATTTTCCGTAACAATAACTTAAAGCGTAAAGAAAAAGTATTAATTGGTTATGAAAATATGGGGATGTCACAGTACACATGTGTCATCTCTTTAAAGATTTACAAGTTAAAAGGCTAAAGGAACCTAAGTAATTCATTCTTCTTCATTCCCAAAGCATAAGTCTTAGAGGTTAAGGAGGATTAGAGTTGCTAAGCAAGGTTTAAACAAGGGGAGTATGTTATATGCTTTACTAGGATACATATATGTTATATAAATGATTTATGTGTGAAGAAAGTTTTATGATAATTAATTGTCATGTTTTTTTAATAAAGTAATGCTATGATTATGTTTTTCTATATGGCAAATATGTAGATGTTATGACATGATATTAACATGTCGTTTACATTTACATGTTACACATAGAAATCATTTTTTTACATGATAAGTAAAGCCATTAAATATCGGGATAATATTACTATAGCCCTATAAAATCTTCACTTAGTTTTAAAAGGTCCCTAATATTTTTTTTGTTGTAGTTTAAGGACATAAACTCTATATTTACCTGTAAAAAAAGGACCATAACTTGTAATAGTGGATGTATATTGATATGTGGCTTAATCTTGCATATGTGTCCATTTTATTGATTTTTTATTTTTTAAAGTTTGACATGGTTAAAATATATGGACTTTCTTTTGTGCTTGTGTGCAGTGGCGGATCCAGCCTAGAACCCAAGTGGGGTGCCCTGTTGACTGTTGACCGGTCTATTGACTGTTGACTGTTGACCCAGTCTGTTGACCAATCTAATTCCATCCAATCTTTGGCAACGGAAGTAGAAGCATGGTAAATGAGCGACTATGTTTAAGGAAGATGAAAGAAGAGGGATAATATTGGTGAATATTAAACAACAAAATAAGCTGCTAAGCTTTTGAGTATTCAAATGGGAGGTAAGTGGGTGCAGCTGAATTTCCAGTGGGAACCATGCACTTGAAAATTTTCTATTTTTTTTTTTATGTATATAACTGGTAGGACCCACATTTAAGTGGGGTCCATGCACCCCACTAGTAATGCATTGGCTCCGCCACTGCTTGTGTGGACTGCATAGAAAGAAAGACTAGGGAAATAGAGAACACAGAGAATGAGATTACGAGTAGATGTTCTACGATTGCAACAAGGAAATAAGAAAGAAGGTGAATCCAAATAAAAGAATGAGTTTACTAGATACATCAGATGGAGAAAAAAACATCAGACATAGCCATGGCTGCGACTTATGGCATCAAGGTTGTTGTCAGAGGTGTGGCCATAAATCTATTACATATAATCGACTTTTCACCGGATCTGAGAAGACAATGATCATTTCTATTCATCTGTTTTGTTTTCCACAAATGGTCGAAGCAGGGAACACGATGATCTGAAACATTTTCGTTTTTTTTTCATTAGAGGGCCTGATCTGGAAAACCTTTAGTTTTTTTCGTGTGTGTTTGTGCTTGGTTCAAAACCAGTGGGGGGACAAAGAACAACAAAGATCTAGATTGGTTTTTAGATTTTATACATTTCGATTTTGTGTTAGTTTCGATTTTGTGATGTTCATCTTTAGGAGATCTGGTAACAAAGATCTGAAGACGATTCGTACAATGTTGGTTCTGTGATGTTCATCTTCAATAAAGCTGGATGATATTTTGTGATGTTCAACTTAGTCTCATGGGTGAGCGATTTTTTATTCTAAGTTTCTAGATTTCAATCCTTAGATGGTTGAAAGATTTGTTTAATGTTGGTTTTGGAATGATGATAACTACAAAATGATTGGTATCTGATACTACATTGATTGATTTTGGGATGCTTCATCTTGTCTCCATATTTTGATTTTGGGTTTGTTTTTTTAGCGTTTCTTGTGTTTTCTTTTTTCTTTTGACCTGGGTTCATGGGTGGGTGATCGATGGTGGTTGTTGGAGATAGATGATGGATAGTGGTTGTCGACGATGGTGTATAATGGTAATGGTTGAATATTCATCAAAGAACAACAAGAAGACATTGAATAATGATTCACGTTTCACATGAACACAGGATGAAAACCTGTTCTTTTTTAAAGTTAAAAAACAAACACAAAATACCAAAAAAAATCCATGTGGCTGCCATGTCAGCACCACACGGACCAATTCCACTGACAAAATACCAAACAAGGATGTAACTTGTTTACCCCTTCACATCTAAATGAATGGTGTTTTTGATAACTCAACAATGTAACGTACGACAAAGTATAAAAGACGGTCTTGCAAACGAACCTTTTTAGGTAGCCCTAATATGGACCCAAGATTAAAGAATCTCTATGCTTATCATGTAACAATGAGATCTCAAACAAATATTTTATTTATATTTATCCTTTGATAAAGTATTTGGAAATTTTGTTTTTGATCATGAAACAATAACTATGAAACCATAACTGCTCACGAACCTTAAAGCTTATATATATATATATATATATATATATATATATATATATATATATATATATATATATATATCTATATATATATCAGTAAACAAAGAATATGGACCACAAAAATATAATTATCTTACTAAACTAGATGTTTTGTTTTTATACCATCTTCGGCTTATGTAAAATCTCTGGTTTAAGTTATGATGAAATAAAAGTTTTAATATAAGTTTTTCTTTTATTCACTTGTATTAAAGGCAAGAATAAGTTACCCCCAAAATTTGGACATAACAATAACTCTTTAATTATAAGAGTCGCTTATCAATAAAAAAATATATATTATGTAATTTTCTATCTTTAAAAACTGTTTTAAATATCTTAAAAGTAAAAGGATTTAAATTATTTTATCTAATTGGGCCAGTTGTAAAAACATTGCAAGCTAATTTTGAGTTGAGTTTTGTGCTTACAAAGTCTAAACCCGTTAACCCAATACAAACTTGATACAAAGGTTCAAGTAAGAGGTCATTTACACAATGCGACGAGAATTAAACAAATAAGTTCTTTCAACCAGTTTAATTTTCAACTTGACATGGTTGCCAAAGATTAGATATATATACTCCAAAAACAAATGGATGAATCTCTAAGAGCCTAAGCTTTAAGCCATTAATTATTTCAATGCATTCAAGCAATGGCATTCACAATTCAAATGAAAAAAGCATGCCCCAAAATCCACAAAGAAAAATCAAATCGTATGCATGCTCTGCTTCTCGACCAAAAACCAACATGTTTAAAAGTAAATTATATGAAACAAACATAACATAACAAAACAAAAGACAGGACCTGTTAAATCCTGATGCTGCAGTAATCTCACCAGATTTTTATTCCGGCATATTTTTTTAAAGGTGGAAAATTCAATCAGTGATGATGATGTTCATCCTCGTCTAGTCCATCTGGAAGTCCTCCTGGGCCCACTACTTCCAACTGCAAAATACATTTATAATGTATGAATAATTAAATACACAACAGTTTAATCAAATGTCACAATGTTTTTATAAAGAAATAATTTGCACTCACCTTGAAATATTGTGAGCAGACTGGGCATTCATGTGTTTCTCCTTTCTTTAGCCAAAACCAAACAACATCATGCTCATCCTCTTTAACAGAAAAATTATATAAAATGAGATATTATATGATACCACTGAAGTCTCTAAAATTACAGAAAAATAAGACTCACCCCCTTCTGCACCAGGGCAACCAACAATTCTTTGGTCATAGTAAGATTTCACAATAGCAGGAGCTTCCTACAGCCAAACACAAAACAAAACATGAGATCACAGCTTCACCAACACTTCTGATATAGGGCTTTCATGATACCTTTATACATGTTAGGGTTATGAATTGTGATATGTTAGGGTTAGGAAAGATATGGGGTAGAGCAAGAATACAATTCATAGCACGTTTATTAGAGTAGAGTATCCCCAAAGGCCAACACAGCTAAATCATAAACTAATTTTCATGTATATGTTGCAAAGTGCTAAAGTTATTTCTTAGATACCTGGCATTCAAAGCAGTATCCAGTATCCATAGAATAAACATAAATCTTTATGTGTACTGACATTATATATTGATGATATTAGGGATAGGTGTAACAAAAAGCTATAGTTCAATACAAGGTGTTGACATTGATTTGATGCTTAGACCAATTCAAAAAAATAGCAAATAGCTAAATTTCTGCAGTTATCTTTCTAATCAATATTATTGAAGCATATCATTATCATAAAAGTTAGGACTATCTGTATCCAATGAAAACAATTTCGCCTCTTTTGACAAAAGAAAAATATCATTTGAAATAAATTAAAGATGTACTTTACCTTGGTACCGAATGGACCTTCAGGAAAATTGATATCAAGAATATCCCGTCCCTAATCACACAAAATAACAATCAAGATTAATCTCAATGACTGAAATTTAACAAAAAGCTCGACAAATCGAGCACAGAAAACTGACCTCAAGCTCGGCTTCAAGCTCCTCACGCTCGTGACCAGTCGCAATAGGCATCACATCTTCGACTTTCTTAGAAACGCTTCCTACAATTAACAATCAACGCACATCAAAACCACAAATCTCGAAACAATTGCATCCACAACCAATAGACAGAGCTGTTAAACAAGAATTAAATTCAGATCTAAACGAAGACGATAGAAGAAAAAAAATACCTGAATAGTGACGAGCGATAACAGTGGCGGATGGCCGATGAGTCGCCGGCGATAGTGAAGAGGTAACGATACGATTAGGTCTGGCAACAAATCGGAGTGCTAAGATCTTAGCAGAGGCTCGTCTCCACATGGTTTCACCTTCACCGGAACCCTAGGTTTTCGGCTGTTGATCTGAATGGGCGACGGGAACTTTTCTTTTCCAACACTATGTAGATGAAAATTTTCGTACAACGTGAAACTGAAATATAAAATTGGGTGTGAAATAATACCTTTATGCGAGGAGTGTGGGATGATCCTCTACCCGAGGGTGCAGGGAGCTAGCTGCTTTCTTAAAATCAGTTGTCCTACATGCATACATACTTGTACATATCCCTCTAATTTAGCAAAGTCAACTTTTCGTATTTTCCAACCTAATTGGGCCTTCTCTTATAAAATCCGCCTATTTGTCTCAAAAGAACCCAATTGAATATCTAACATAAAAATATGTGAAGGGCCCAATTAATAGTCCTGATTAGCCTAGGCCCGGTTTTATTCCTGTCTTTTTTTTTTCTTTTTTTTTTTTTTTAATTTCTAGATTATGTAAAACTACTTTAAAAAATATTAAATTAGAAATCACTTGAGTTTTATTTCTGCAATATGTCGAGACTAAAATATAATATGAAACAATAACATAAACATGTAAAATAATACCTCGTTACAAATTTATAGATAATAAACAAAAAGGTATATAAAATAAAATTATGATCTAACTAAAAACATTGTTCTTTAAATAGAATTTTTCAATGTTTCATTGTGTACTTATGTCATACATATGTAAGTTTAATCCCTCAGACATTTTCAATGATTAACTTCTTAAACGTTTATTATTTTTGTTATATCAGATTTCCATTAACTTTTATTTAACAAAAACTTATTATCATAAACTATCTCAAATAATTTTTTTTTAAATGCTTTTTCTTTAATTTATTAAATTTATTTTGATTTTTCTTATATGTTATATGAAGTCCCCGTATAAAATTTGCATTTTTTTAATTATGTTAGATTTCAAAAAAAATATATTAATTTACATTTATATTTAATTAAAAAACAATAAAATATTATATTGTTATAACGTTTTTTAAAATTTGGTATTTGTTTTGTTTTTAAAGTTTGGACACGTGATAAATATCTATAAAATATATTTATTTTTATTTTGTATATTTTACCTATATATAGGGTGTAAAATTAAATTTCATTAGTTAAAAGATCCTCTATAATAAATGAAGTGTTTTTTTTAGGGGTGAGCAAAAACCGCACCGCAACTAAAGTTAACTGCAAAAACCGCATAAACCGCAACCGATAAACCACAACCGCAATAAAAACCAATGGTGAAGTTTTCTGTTTTTCAAAAATCGCAAATTTGCGGTGCGGTGCGGTTATTAGCTTTCAAAAAACCGCAAAAAAACTGCACCGCACCGCATATATTATATACATTTTTATTATTAATTATTAATATATTAAATGTTAAAAATAAGACAAGTTTCATGGAAGAAAAATGGATAAAATACTAGAAGACAAAAGTGTTGGTTTTTTGTTATGTTTAACTTTGAAAAATGATGAAATTAAACAATTTTAAGATATTTATTGTTAATTACTACCGATTTGACGTTTTTAGGATATTAGTTGTTTGTGATTTAAGTTAATTGTCTTATACCTTATGGTTTTTTTATTACAAGTAATATGTTTGAACTCTTAAAACCGTTTGAGCTCTAAACTGTGGTTAAGGATCACACAAAATAACTGCACCAAATCCATGCGGTTAATAACCGCAACACAGAAAAAACAAAATTGTACCGCAAAAATAACCGCCTAACCGCACCGCAAAAATAACCGCACCAAGCGGTTTTGAAAATGTATTAACCGCATTTGCGGTTAGTGGTGAGGTTTTAGCTAATAACCGCACCGCGCTCACCCCTAGTTTTTTTTGCCGTTTGTCACACTCTTATTCAATTTGAGAAATATCATTTTATGATTATTTTGAATTGATTTTTTTGCACATATCATTTTGAGCTTTTCTATTTTATCAAATTTCATATAATATTTTAATGTAATAATCATAATAAATGAAGTAATAAATTGATATCAATTTCATTAATGAACTTAACTTTTCATTTCAAAATTTCCAAAATTAAAGGTCATTAGTTTCTTTTATTTATTTAAATTACTAGTTTATAACCCGTGAGAACCACAGTTATAAAATTAATTAAACTTTCATAGTAAAAAATCAAAATTAGTAATCAATTATTTTACATAAATTATTACTTAAGAGATGTTTTTTTAGTTATATAAAATTATGATCGTTGATTTAAATAAATAGGTGAAGTTATATCACCTTATAATCTATATTAATTTTATTTTATTTTTTAATCTAATGTTATTAATTTAATATAATTAGAGTGAAAAGTTTTAAATTTTGAAATTTAAAATAGAGAATCAATTATTAATTTAATGTAATTAGAGTGAGAAATTTAAATTTTAAAATTTAAAATTTAAAATTAATAGGTTGACAAGTGGCATGATAGATGACATATAATATTAATGAGGAGTTCTAATAGTATGACATTTGTCAATAGAAGAATAAATCTATTCATTTAATAGAATAGGGAGATTTGTTTAAATTTAAAAATAAAAAACATTTTAATTATAATAATTCATTATTTTTCTTATTTTCATATATCTTAAAAGTTTTCAAATGTTTTGACATTTATATTTAATTTTTTTTTAAATAACTCATATAATACATGGGTCTCACAACTAGTTAAATATACAAAACATAAAAACAATACATTACATTATTTTTCTTATTTTCATATATCTTAAAAGTTTTCAAATGTTTTGACATTTATATTTAATTTTTTTTAAATAACTCATATAATACATGGGTCTCACAACTAGTTAAATATACAAAACATAAAAACAATACATTACGACAGTTGAAGTTTACATGTGTTGATTTCAAAAACCTCCACATTCCAATGGTAAAAAATATACAATATAACTTATTTAACTAGTAATAAGTTTTATAAAATCTACATGGAGATGATCTTATCAATTTCTGGTTTCCAATTTTGAAGTATAAAATAAATTGATAAATACAAACATCTTAAAATCAATAAATTAACTTACTAAAGATGATTGTTATAAGAATTACCTAAACTTGATCAAATTCCACATTGGTATATCTACCGATAACAAGGCAATGATACCAAATGTATCGAGTTTTTTCTTCAACTTCATTTGCATATATGTTTCTCCTTTAATTGCTTCTATTCCCTTTGTTGATGGTCGAGCCTTACAAACACACCTATACCACATGTTTTTCCTCTTTCTTTTCGTTTTAAGAGAGCCATTTTCAATCGTACTGCACAAACACCCTTGTACTACTTTCCCAAACATTTGTACTAGCTTATCCATTTTTATCATTCATCATTATTAATTATTATTAAATACAATTTGAGCCCAATATTTAGTCTCTAGATTATTATTTTCTTAAAGGACTGATATCGACAGCACTATTTCTTACTTTCATTGTTAAGATTTTTTTCAATATCCTCTTGTGTTAATTGACATGATTTTGACAACAAGATATTTGTCCTTTTCTAATTATATTGTTCACAAATAAGTTTACAAATAATATTAGTCGTCAAGATTCTTATACACAATTTTAACATTATCATGTAAAAGATTAATATTTCTATTGTAATAATGGGTATTAGAGAAATAAAAAAACTACAATTATCACATTATGACATTTACCATATAAATTGGTTAAAGACTAATGTTTATCTAAGATCGTATGGAGTACCGGCAACGAAGAGGCTCATGGTCTACGTGGCCACAAGCGTTGTGCGTGCACACCAGCTCGGACCTTCGTGGTCGGACATGATCGTGGTGATTTGTAGTGGGGAGGACGAACGAGCACGACCAATGAGAGGCCGTCTCTGTGTGTGTGTGTGTGTGGTCGTGGAGAGTACTTCATGGCTTTATGGTGGGTAGTGGTGATTGATCTGAAAGCTCTCCACGACCGTTGTCATGGAGAGTATTGCAGATGGTCTAATCAAACACTTTTAATAATTTTGTTTGAGGATTCGGGTTCTCCTTGATATGTTTACAAGATATTGCTCGATCATGTGTGACATTTAAGGTGAGTGGACATCACACGTATAAGACTAAGAGGTATGGTCAATACCAACCCATTAGAAAAAGTGTTGTCACATCTGTGTTACATCATCTCCACTACAAGTTCACTACCACACTACCACCCCTTGCAATGGTTACCATTCCACATTAATTATCTTTTCTTTTACATTAGATTAAATAAAAAAACATAACTACTAAGCATAAATAAATATTTTACATTGCTCAAAAACATAAAATTTTAAAACCTAAATTATTAAAAAAACATAAACGCATGGAAATTTAAATCTAAATTACTAAAGAAAACATTGAAAAAATAGAAATTTAAACCTAAATTGCTAAAAAAACATAGAAAATAAAATATAAATATTAAAAAACTTAGAACCTAATTTCATATTTGCCGCGGACTTGTTGTTGTTAAGTTATTAAAAACTTTGTTAGATTTTTCGGTTCGAGATCCGATTGGGGCTTTGTGTTTATAGTTATAAAACCGATAAGAGTTATTTTTCGGCGACAAACTTCCTCTATTGATTCATATTTTTTTCTAGAAAAAATAGAGTTTTGTCTATTTTTTTCGCAAGTATATATTCGCTACTCGCTTTTCTAGATAAATACCCCGCCGGCTTCGCTTTGTCCCTTCCCGGTGGTCGACGAAGTTGGACTTCCGGTGGACCCTCGCTTTTGGTGTCGTCGAAATCATCATTGAGGTCGAGACCACAACCCACATCCGACTCGGAAGTTCTCGGCCTTTTGTTGGAGCCGGTTGTCGATTCCGAATACGCGCTCTCCAGATTAAGGACCCATTTTGGACCCTTACGACAAATATCTCATGCTTTTTGGTGGCCGAATGGTTTACCATTGTTGGTAAGCTTTGTATTTGTAGCATGCAGTTGTAAGAATATTGAAATCGTTGCTACCACTTTTGTGCATATTTTTAAGATTCTCAAATATATCATTAAATTTAGTGCAAGTCGTTCGTAGGTCACTCCATTTTCCATTGACAACGTCGTCGGTCCATTCCGTTTGCCTTCCTAATAGCTTGTGAAAGTGGTCCAAAACACGATTCTAAAAACTTTCTCCCAATTATGAGTTGCCTCTTTTCGTGTCACACGATATGAAAATCCAAGCTTTCGATAAAACTTCCTCCTCTTCTTCACTCCAACCCCTAGCTCTTTTTTTTACCTTTTTCATTACGTTGTCTTCTTCTAGATGATGGTTGTGTTTCTGGTACCCTTTCTTCGTCGTCATTGTCGAGGTTTATAGGTTGGGATTGAGAAAGTGGGACTTATGATGGTTGTGCTTGAGATTGTTGAGGTTGAGAAGGTTGGGGTAGAAATTGTTGAGAATAATGTTGTTGATAAATTTGGGATTAGGGTTGATTAAATTGTTTTGGTCGTTGTTGTTAGTAGTAGTTTGGGTGGTATTGAAGGTTGGCGAATAGAGATTGTTGTTGGATTGAGATGTTAACAATTACATGTAATTAAGATGTGCATATAGATCATTTTGGGTGTTTGGGGTGTTTGAAGTGGGTGGGGTATTTTGATTTGGATCTATAATTTGAAGAAAATATGAGAAAAATAGAAAGATGTTGTGTGTTTTTGTAGCTTGAAAAATGTATATAAAATTGTTGGTATTTATAGTTGTAGAATGTATGGTTAAATTTAAAAAATAAATTTTTTTTTTTAAACACAAACGTTTACATGCATTGATTCAACCGACAAATTTTCAACCGTTTGCAAAGTTGCTCTCTTATTGGTTGTCTTCGTGCGTAGAGTCGGTCACGTCACAAAATATCTACGCCCATTAGGGGAGATGTTCAAGTGTAGCCTGGCTTGCCACATCGGACATCACACGTAGATTGACCTCCCATACCCAACAGCCTAACAATAACACTAAAAAAAGAAACAATAAATAACACAGAGACACGATAGTTATTCGTAGGACTTAATAGAACCAATAATAAACAAGCTCCAAACTAAAAGTCAAATTTAGCCACAAAGCGATATATTGTAATCAAAGTTCACAAAGGGAAGGCAGTAAGATTGGTGCACCCTTTTGGGTTCTACATGGATAAAACAAAAGCCATGAAAAAGGAAAGACAACCGATATCCATCATCTTCATCTGTCATTAAACTCCATACCTTCTAACATGCCATCGAAAAAAACCACAACTAAAGGAGTCCCTTGGCAAAATTTACTTAAACATCGTTAGAATTTTCCTCGTCTAGATTATCTTATGCCATCCAACCATATTATATTTGTTATTTATATTGTTTTCTAAAATCATATATATATATATATATATATATATATATATATATATATATATATATATATATATTCTAATAAATAAAGGTTTTTTTTACATATGTCACATTCTCATTCCATTTGTCAAATGTCATTTTTTGATTATTTTGAATTAATTTTTTTCCACATGTCATTTTATGAGTTTTCTTATTTTATTAAATTTCACATAATCTTTTAATGTAATAATTATAATAGATGTAGTAATAAATGAATATCAATTTAATTAATGAACTTACCTTCTAATTTTAAAATTCCTAAATTAAAGCTCATTAATTGATTTTGTTTATTTATTTAAATTATTTGTTTAAGTTATTTGTTTAAATTTAAATTATAAAAAAACATTTCAATTTTAATAATTCATTATTATTTTTTTTTCTTATAAATTTAAAGTTTTCAAATATTTAGACTTTTATATCTAACTTTCTTTTTTAAATTAACTCATGTATTACATGAGTCTCACAACTAATATATATATATATATATATATATATATATATATATATATATATATATATATATATATCTCCCTTAATAAATAAAGGTTTTCTGCCACATGTCACCTCCTTATTCAATATGCCACATGACATTTTTTTATTTTTTCAATTCAATTTAATTCCACTTGGCAAATTGTGGATTTTTTGGTTTTTTATCAAATTAAAAAATGTCAACTATTTACCGCACCGTATACAATTACTGCATCTTATACAAATAAAGGAAACCTGAATATCACTGAATATCTCCTCCCGATTTTTGTCAATGAATACATTAAATCCAAATATATCTTCTTAAATTACATACACAACTGTCGGAATCACCACTCAAATTGATTCTTATTTGCAGGAACTTATCAAATTTCAATTCATTCACAGCTATTCTTCATATCCTTTCCAAATTCAATTTTGAAAAATATATACAGCTACAATCTCATTCATATGTCGCCGTTTATTGAGAGATTGAAGATTTACAGCATCACCAAGTTCATCATCAGAGTCCATTATCAAAAGTATCTACTACATCATGTTAGCATATGTAATGATCGATACAATTAGTTTAAGCATCACGAAAATGATTTGATTCTTTTTTATTTGAACATTTCATGTTTTCCTCTTCTCCTTTCCATGATATGGTCGAATTGTATATACATTTATGTACTAATAATTTACTCATGTTTCATTGCATATAAGCTGTTCGATTAAATACCTCAAATAAGTTTTTTTTTTCCTTGCATATAAGCTGTTCGATTAAATGCCTCAAAGAAGTTTTTTTTTCCTGTCACACACCCTGCTACAACTGTGATATGGTCGAATTGTATGAAATTATTTTTGTTCTCTGTTTGGTTTTACATATCTTTCAAAAAAAATTAGAATGCAGTATAAAGGACTAAAATAGAAGCTCATAATTTTGTTCTCTGTTTGGTTTCACATATCTTTCAAAAAGTTCGATGGTTTTATGTAAATTGGAATTTGATTCAAAATTTATGCTAAACGGGGGGTTTGCAACACGTCAATAGTTATTTTTTATTAATTTATTGTGTAATTGCTTTTTTATTTTATAATAATAACATACTTGCTTTTTTATATTATAATAATACCAAATACTAGATTTTGTGCCTGTAGGATTTAATTTCAATGATTTGGGAATCCTAGACTTTATCCACTTTGTTTTGTATATTCTGAATGATTATGATTCCATTCCAGAGGATCTATATCCTACCTGTCACTGTGAATCTTTTTGATGATCTGGAAACCAGATTTTGTTATTGGATCAAAAGGAAATTCCAAGCCATTATTATATTATTTTGGATTTTATTGTGGAATTAAGGTTAATTACCATTGTCTGTAACTTTAATGTAGTTGGTCCCAAGACCTACTGCTACAATCACCTGAAAGAGCAATTGTTGACTTAATCAATTAAGTCGACTATATTATGCATAACATATCTCTATGAACTTGGATTACCTTTGTAGCACCAGCATCAAGGCTGTTGAACACCAGCTCTTCCAAGCCATTATTATATTATTTTGGATTTCGAAATTTTGTGTTTGGTAAACTATGAATATTCATTCCTGTTATCTTTTACTTTTTTAATTAAATAAGGGAATTGGGTTTTGGTTGTTTATTTGTGATAGCTTTTACTAAACAACAATATTGTTTTCTTTGTGTTTCTTTATAACATAATGTTAGTTGCTAATGCATCGTGGTAGTTGCTAATGGTCTGTTATCATCGTGTTTTTAACATTGTTTGTAGTAATCTTTATACTTTGTCATCATGCTTTTGAAAATTATTTTTATCATTTATTTATCATACTTTTGTGTTATATAACAACTGATCTTCGTTACTACATTTGGTTTACAGGTTAATGGGAAACACCAATCTTACCATGATCAATGACTTGACACTTGCACAAGATGACTACACGATCAAGGTTCGAATCATTCGTCTGTGGAAACAGATTCGTATGATTGGAATGATATTGATGGACGAAATGGTATTTTGGATTTTTTTTAGTTTTTTTTTTTAATATTATTAATTTATACAAGTTAAGTTATGATTATTTTTATGTGTGGTATAACTTATTATTATATTTTTTTCATCTATTTATAGGGCTCCAAAATTGAATGTAATGTGGATAAACCATTTGCATCATTGCAAGGAAAAACTTTGGAAGAATATGGTGATTACTACATTCAAAAACCCACAATAGGGTTAAATAATGGTGCTATAAAGTTTGTTGATGGACCACATAAACTCTATTTCCAATATAGCACTAAGGTTATTAGATGCAAAGACTTTTATGGGCCCCACAATTCCTTTGCTTTCATTGACTTCAAACAACTTCATTCTAATTCGATCCAACCCAATGTGTCATTTGGTTAGTGTATTCCCTCAAATCCATTTGCTAATGGATTGAATTATCTAAATTTAATTTTTTACACCATAACAGATACATCCTTACACTTTTCGTTGTCTATAATATAGATATTATAGGAAACGTTTTCCAATGTTTTCCATTGGAACCTCCAAAAGACAAACAGGAGCAGAAAATCACACTAAAAATGGAGGATTTAGAGTGAGTTTCATTCTTTATACATATTTTTATTATTCTAATGATGCTTTGTTTTTTAATTTTATTTCTTTTTACAGAGGACATGAAGTTTTTGTTACTCTATGGGGACGTTATGCTGATGAAATTGTTGCATATGTTTCAAAGCATCATGGTCATTTTGTAATGATTATTCAACTTGCTAAGTTCAAGAATATCCGACGTACGTATTTACCATGATACTAATTTGTAATATTTATATTCTTAAAATTTTGGTTTTATGAAATTATTAACATTCATACAAAAATTAAAATTTCCATTTCAGAGCGTCCATATGTCAACAACACGTACTTGGCTACAAAGCTTTTTATTGAGGATGACATTGAGGAGATAACTGAGTTCAAAAAAAGGTGTCATGAATTTTCCAAATGATTTCTCATTTCAATTTAATATTTCTCATTTCAATTCAATATTTTATTATTTCATATTTATTATATATAATAATTATTAAATGCTAAAATAATAGTTTACAAGCAAGAAAAAACTCTTCGTGTTCTTCGGTCTCACGTGCATCCGGATCATCGATCATGTATTCACTACATGATGATTTTGTTCAAAAGAACGCCTTTTACAAAATATCCGCGATTCACGAATTGAATGAGGTACATAATTGATCCCCCTATTAATTTAATTAATCAATACTAAAATATTAACCAACTCTAAATACACCTACTATCATAGGGAAGTTGTGCAGTAATTCTTGGAACAATAAAGATGTTTGAAGATATACGGAATTGGTACTATAATGCATGTACAAAATGCAAGTCAAAGGTTATTTTAATGGATGTTCCAAATGAGACGGTCAATGGCTTGGACCGGTTTGAAGAGAAAAAGATGATGTTTTCTCCAAAAAAAGATTGCAATGTCACACATGTTATTGCTGAACCAAGGTATGTAACAAATAAAAACTTAATATATTATTATTCAATAATTTTATATTTATTTTTAATGTTACAAATTTATATTTATATATATATATTTTTCAAGTTACATGATCAAAGTTCGAGTTCAAGGTTTAGTTGGAGTGGTGAGTCTTACAATGTTTGATCGTGAAGTAAGAAATCTTCTGAAAATATCTGTTGCTGAATTAATATCAAGATATAAAAGGGTATATGTATTTTATAATCAATACCATATTGCTAAATTAATGTTGTTTTTTAAACATTTATTTAATTCATATTGTTTACTAATAATTTTTTTTAGTTCGACAATCCAAGTGACTTTCCAAATGAGTTGAATGCCATGCTCAATAAAAAATTGGCTTTTAAGATCGTTGTCAAGACTCTCAATTTCTCAAAATTTGGTCGTTCTTACAACGTTTCCAAGCTAACAGATAATGTCGACATTATTTCTGCTTTGGAGAACATTGAGAAGAAGAATATGATTGAACAGGTAAAAATACACCATACTAATTACTTTACTACATAATATTTCATAGAATCCTTAATGTAACAAACTTTTTTTACCCATAATATTATAGGACATGGATAATGATTCTGTTAATGTAATTGACTCAGAATTTGCATCTCAAGACATAGTGGGTTGTAAGGTAAACTACACTTTTATGTCTTTTTTTTATATATATATCATCATTTTCATTAATAATTTATCATATTTTCTCTTTTTTAATTTTAGGATGTTAATTCCCACACTGCTGATAATACGCCTGGGTCAAATATTCCATCTGGCAATAGTACAAGTCCATCATCAGTAACCGCCACCAACAACCTCAATTCTCCACCTACAAGTGTCAAACGTAAACTCGTAGATATTTACGATCTTGATGATGACGTTTATGAATCGTCAACAAAACCTAATGCACCCCGTGTTGACAATGGCAAAGCTGGAATAACAACCAAATTGTTGATTCCTAAGGTGGAAAAATGATCGTAAACAACAATCTTTCTTTGCTACTCATTGCTTTCTTCTAAGATATATATATATATATTTTTATATTTCCTTCTTTTACTTGCATATTATTTTGGATTTCTAAATTTTGTGTTTGGTAAACTATGAATATTCATTTGTGTTATGTTTTACTATTTTAACTGAATAAGGGAATTGGGTTTTGGATGTTTGTTTGTGATAGCTTCTACTAAACACAAGTATTGTTTTCTTTGTGTTTGTTGTAAACAATATATGGTTTTGATCCATTTCTGTATATTGCTATGGTATAAAAATGGTCAAATGAAGGTTGAATTTTCGTGTAACAATACCTTTTGGTTTTGGTTTTTTCTCTGCCATCAAAATATAAAAAATAACTCATATAAATTTGCATATATAAACTGCGAAATTCTTAATATTATGACCTGCGATTTTTTTTTGGTAAATGTGAATATTCTTTTTTTTTTTTTTTTTGGAAAATGATAAATGAGATTACTCTTTATTGTCTTTTTTCTCTCTATTATTTATGTTATGATTTGAAGTTGTTGATATTTTTAAAAATTGGAATCTTATTAATTTTAGGATGACAATGTGATTAGATTTTAGGTAATAGAAATACCATAGTCTGATGATTATTTAAATTTAAGGAATATGTACAAGATTTAGGTAATAGAAATACCTCTGTTCCAATACTTCCTTTATAGGAATAAAACTGCATAATTCCCAAACAATTTCTAAATTTCTTCTACAAATTATATTCAACTAATAATAAATGACTCTTCCTACCTGCCCTTTTTTTTTTGTCGTTTATCAATATTACATCTTATACTAAGGTTCCTATCATTTCAATTTTCAAATTTCTAACTCCTTACATCTCCAATAATAGTCATCAACACAATTTTGCTTACTTTAAGAAGGAACCCATGAATGACTAAGATTTTGAAAGGTCATTATGTTTCAATTTCTGTAGCCCCTGAAATATTAACAATCACGAAACTTTATCACAATGACATATCCTTGTGGAAATAACACTTCACCCTACTCAGAAATGATCTATTGCATTACATTAACTGTTGTGAAAACATCTTGTCGTTCATCATCGATTCCTAGATATAAGCATTTGGAACACTGAAAATATAAAAAAGAATTAGGAAAAGCAAGCTGCCATGAAATGCTAATATAAGAAGGGAGGTGATTCTTCCACTCTGTATATATATATTAAAGGAAGTGATACCTTTATTCGTTGAATCATCCATTTGGCATTCCATGACCCTTTGTAACAACTTGCAACAATATATTGTTTAGAAACACAATGTGATGAACATACATTCATATGCATAATGTGGATGGAAAATATACTAATTTATGAGAGATTATTCTGATTACCGTATCTTTCTCCAAACAACACCAACCCATCCCTTGTAATGCCACAACCTGCATAAAATTATCCTTTTAGAATAAAAAGATAGAAACAAAGATGGGAGATACATCACACATACCACTCTTGTGGAATTAAGGTTGGTTACCATTGTCTATAACTTATCAGTAAAATCATTAAATACATACTTAAATCGACATTATTACTCACAAACCCTAGAACAAAGCCCTTTAACCCAAAAAAGTTTAGCCATACCGTGTATCTTTAAAGTCATCATCTAAGTATGTTATATGGTGCGACATAGACTTGATGGATTTTATTTTATTTCCTTCATTACCCTTCATTAATGACTCAGAAAATAAAGGTGGCTTGTATTTGGAGTTGTTTTCATCTTCGCACTGACAAAAATACACCGACGAATTAGCACCATCCTACATTTGTTGCTAACTTTATGGCCCCTCCATTTATCATTATCATTAATAAAAAGCAAATTATACAACTATGCAACACAATCTCATAAATTTACTGAAAAAATCATAACCAAATCGTGATTTTTAGAAACTAAATCTCTACAAATAAACCCAAAAAAATGTTCTATTTTACTTTCTATTAACGCAATACTTCATAAACTATTAAGCCCTCAACTTAACAATAATCGATGATCAGAAAAATTGAGAAGCTAATCTCGAAGAAAAAAGATGAAACCCTAATTAAACAAAAAATACCTTTTGTTTTCGTCACCGACGTTCTTGCTGAACCCATCTCCGCTCCGATTTCTTTGTCGGCACCACGTCGGTGCTCAACATCATCCTGCAGCTTGGTACACATCTCCTACACCTGACCAGTTCTTCCATTTCATTGGATCGGAGACGGCTTCCTCCTCCCGTGTCTCCTCCCGTGTCTTTTATTTTCAGGTCTTATTCTCACACTCTCATTTTCTCTCTCTTTTACTATTTAATCCTTTAATGTCTTCCTGGTAAAATAAACCAATTGTGTCTATAGCCTATTATCTATCGGTCAAAGTCTAGAAACTAAAATGTAATGTAGCAGTTTCGTAATTAACTAGACATATATACAAACAATATTTTCTGACTTTTGATCGATCAACAAATTTTATGTTATGTGATTTTAGAATTTAATTATTTACTTTGGAGTAAAATAGTTAGAATAAACAATTTAAATTAGTATCAAAATGTAAATATTTTATTGATTTAGTTTGTATATGATGTTAGCTGTTTATAATCTCGTTTATTTAGCAATTAAAGTTGGGTGATAATTAGGAGTATGTGCTTGCAAGACATTTACTAGAATATATTAATTTTTTCTATCATTGTTATATTATAGTTGCATTAAGTTGATTATTGACAACCCGATTACATCACCAAAATTTTATAAGTCGTTTATTTTGATACGTCGTTCAATTTTGGACACATGTGAGTTTCAATCCTAATATCGCCACTGTCACCAACGGAGTCCTGAAATTCATTGGAATTGTCACCGGTTAAAAGCGCTGCTACCACCGGAGTGCTCATCAATCCCTCTATCCTCTTTGCCCTTGCCGAATCTGTTCTTTGTCGAATATTATTAGTAAAGTTTTTCTATCTTTCTTGCTCTCATTATCACTCTGGCTAACTATCTTTCTATTTCTATCTTTTTGTCGAATATTATGGTCAATATAATTTTTTATTACATAAATTGCTTTTTGTTCTTAAGCTACACAGACGATATGGATTCAAATGAGCATAAAGACAAACACAGACATAGAAAATTATATTCGGAAAAAAGAAGATCCAATCTTATGTCCACCACGTTAATTGGTAATTTTTTATATACAATCCAATTTACTTTTATTTTCAATCATGTTTTATATTTGACTTATGTTATGCAAATATTATTTTATATCTTATGACGTATTATGTCACATAATCATCACATCATGTAATAACGCATTCTTAATATTATATATTCATTGTAGGTATTCTTCAACAACATTCACCATCTTCAACCAATTCTACATATATTCGCATTGATAATGAAAATGTCAATTCAAATATATCATCTGCATATCAACATACGACTTTCCAATCTACTTCAACTTTTAATATTAAAACTCCATTGTGTGTTGCTGCCAAAGAGAACAGAAAACTTAGAAAATTATATTTGGATAAGAAAAGATCCAATCATTTGTCCACAACGCCTTCTGGTATGTCTTTTTATTCCTATGTCACCAGTTTTTATTGCATTTTAAAGATAGAAAATTATATTTGGAAAAAAGAAGATCCAATCTTATGTCCACCACGTCAATTGGTAATTTTTTATATACAACCCAAATTACTTTTATTTTCAATCATGTTTTATATTTGACTTATGTTATGCAAATATTATTTTATATCTTATGACGTATTATGTCACATAATCTTCACATCATGTAATAACGCATTCTTAATATTATATATTCATTGTAGGTATTCCTCAACAACATTCACCATCTTCAACCAATTCTACATATATTCGCATTGATAATGAAAATGTCAATCCAAATATATCATCTGCATATCAACATATGACTTTCCAATCTACTTCAACTTTTAATATTAAAACTCAATTGTCTGTTGCTGCCAAAGAAAACAGAAAACTTAGAAAATTATATTTGGATAACAAAAGATCCAATCATTTGTCCACAACGCCTTCTAGTATGTCTTTTTATTCCTATGACACCAGTTTTTATTGCATTTTAAAGATATTTTATTTTATCCACAATCCTCTGAATCTGAAATAGTTTTCTCTTTTACCTAGACTCTTTTATACATTACAATTTATATTTAATTAAGATATTGTTATAATTTCACACCTAATACCTAGCACGGTCAACATTTATTTCAAATTTTTTTACATTGGTATTTCATAAATCCCTTGTATAGTAGGTGTAATTATATCATTACATTTATTTTTTTATATTTTTCTTATTGTATCTTAACTTAAAATAAATGTTATGTGTACTATAACTTACATATTCTTTATTTTTTTTACAGTCATTTCTAATATAACTACCAACATTCAAACACCAACATCAAACAAGTTTGCATATCATGGTGGTAACAATCAAAATGTCACCCCAACTTCTTCATATGGATATCAACAAACACGTGTTCAATCTATTTCCAATATTTCTATCGATAGTCCATTATCATACAACGCCAAAGACAAACGAAAAGAAAGGAAAATTTATTTGGATAAAAGAAAATCCAATCACATGTCCACCATACCAATCGGTATATAATATATATCATCTTAATTCTTTTATTTTATCCATCTACAGTTATTATAAATATTTTAATAAATATTATGTTCTTATATGTGTTTCTTTATTGTTCCATAATTAATACATATTTATATTAACATATATTACAATTATAGGTAATAATGGTCGTCATCAAGAACGTTTTGAACATGCTTCTAATTTTACTACAAGAACTCCGTTGTCCAACATTTCCAATGGTATAACTACGTTTTTATCCGGCATATTGTTTCTTACTATATATGGTATACATATTATTATAATATGTATGCATTTTTTTATTTTTTTATTTTTATCTATTTACTTTATAAATTTAATACTAAATATCATACTTTTAATTTTAGTAAATGGAGAATGTTCAGTCTTGTGTCGTGACATGAGACCTACGACTTCATCTTCAATCACTCGAGACTATTCCAACCATTTATTGTGCAAAAATATAAATAAAAAAAAGGAAGTTTCTAAATACAGCTCGCATACCCATTTTCGACCTAACATCAGAAGAAGAGTTACGTGATCAACAAATCCATAAACAATTAACTTTAACTTCAGGTGCCACAAAAGGTAAGTTTTAATTTCAATTTATCATCCACCTTTCTTTATGAACTATTACTCATCTCAACATTAATTTATTTCAAACTTTAACATACATTTTTATTAAACAGATTACTTGGACCATGGTGATCAGACTTTTGTGTGTATGATGTGTCATGCACAGTTATGGAGGGATGAAGCACTTAAAGGCAATACTTCTGGAAAGAAAACTTCTTTTTCCCTTTGTTGTGGCAATGGAAAGGTCGAGCTTACTCAACTAAAAGAACCGCCTAAAAATTATGAAAATCTCTTTCGTGATGTTGATCCAAAAGGAAAAAATTTCATGAAGAACATTCGTCGATTCAATTCGATGTTTTCGTTTACTTCAATGGGTGGAAAAGTTGATTCTTCAATTAATAAAGGCAATGCTCCATATGTTTTTAGACTTAGTGGTCAAAATTATCATTGCATGGGAAGTCTTCTACCTATAGATGGATCGAAACCAAAGTTTTCGCAATTATACATATATGATACTGAAAATGAAGTTTCAAATCGACAACAAGCTTTCAAGTATTTCTTTATACGTTTTTTATACACCATTAATTTTATATATTTCATATAATTATTTAGTTGCTAAATTTTACATATAACCGTTATTGTTAACAGTACACAAAAAGAAGGGTGCACATCAACTTCTCATTCTTTTGATGTCGAACTTATACGCTTTTTGAAGGACATGTTGGATTCAACAAATGAGTTGGTTAAGTGTTATAGAATGGTCAGAGATTGTTTTGATGAAAATCCTCATATAGATGTAAAGTTACGTCTTATAGGAAGAAGGCAACAAGATGGAAGGATATATAACTTACCTTCTGCTTCTGAAGTTGCTGCTTTAATTGTTGGTGATATTGGTGATGCAATTGATAACAGAGATATCATCGTAACAACTAAATCAGGAAGTCTACAACGTATAAACGAATTACATCCTTCGTACCTTGCTCTTCAGTACCCACTACTCTTTCCATATGGGGATGATGGGTATAGAGTTGACATCCCTCACAGAGATTTTTGATGATTCAACGAATAGCAAACGTCGTAACTGTATAATGAGAGAATTCTTTGCTTATAGAATTCAAGATAGAGTTAATGTTTTTTCATTAATTCTTAATTCATGAAGGCTTTTTCAACAATTTTTGGTTGATGCTTATACGATGATTGAAACTGAGAGACTATATTACATACGCAATCAACAAAAAGTTCTTAGATGTGAATCGTATGAAACATTACGAAACGTACAAAGTGATGGTGGTACTGATATTTCCAACATCGGAAAACGTGTTATCTTGCCTTCTTCATTTACGGGTGGTGCGCGCTACATGATGCAAAATTATTTAGATGCAATGTCGCTTTGTAAGTGGTTTGGATACCCAGATTTTTTCATAACCGTAACATGCAATCCAAAGTGGCCTGAAATTAAAAGGTTTCTTGCTGACACCACACTTAATCCCGAAGATAGGCCCGATGTCCTTTCCAGATTATTCAAAATCAAGTTGAATTCTTTGATTAAAGACTTAAAGAAAAATGCGTTATTGGGTCGGGTCCAAGCAGGTACCTTATAATCCAATAATACTTTTATCATTATGTTTTTTATTATATTATAATATTATATTTATTTTAATAATTTACAGTTGTTTATACTGTGAAGTTTCAAAAGCGCGGTCTGCCTCATGCACATATATGTTTATTCATGCATTCTGATTACAAACTCCCAACTGTTGAACATATTGATCGAGTTATTTCGGCTGAAATTCCAAACAAAGAAGATGATCCAGAATTGTATGCACTTGTCAGTGAGTTTATGATGCATGGTCCATGTGGTTCTGATAATCCTAAATGCCCATGCATGAGTGACAACAAGTGTTCAAAAAATTTCCCAAAGTCATTCTTAGAAAATACCTCAGTCGATTCAGATGGTTATCCTATATATAGGAGACGTAATGATGGATCTTTTGTTGAAAAGTCTGGTGTTAGGTTAGACAACAGAAGTGTCGTTCCATATCACAAAGCCCTTTTGAAAAGATATCAGGCTCACATTAATGTTGAGTGGTGCAATCAAGCGGCTTCCATCAAATATTTGTTTAAATATATTAACAAGGGTCCTGATCGGGCTACTGTTGCAGTTGTACAAAACAACGGAGATGATAATGATGATGTTTCCGTTGATGAAATACAAAACTACTATGATTGTAGGTATTTGTCTGCATGTGAAGCTTCATGGCGTATATTTGCATTTGATGTTCATTACAGATATCCTTCTGTTGTAAGGCTTCCATTCCATCTTCCTGGAAAACAAAATGTTGTATATGGAGCAGACGATGATATTGAAGATGTCCTCAACAAACAATCTGTTTCTTCTTCGATGTTCTTATCTTGGATGAGCTGTAATGAACATAATGCTGATGCACGAAAACTTTCTTATGTTGAGTTTCCTACAAAATTTGTATGGAAACAGGAAGATCGTTGTTGGGAGCCAAGAAAACAAGGGTTTTCTATTGGGAGAATTCACACAGTCTCGCCTAATCTAGGTGAAGCATATTTTTTGAGAATTCTTTTAAATAAAGTCAAAGGGCCGAAATCATTTGAAGATATTCGTAAGGTTAATGGACAAGTTTGTCCTACTTTTAGAGATGCATGTTATGCGCTTGGACTTTTAGAAGATGATAGAGAATATATTGATGCCATCGAGGAAGCAAGTCACTCAGGATCTGGTTATTATTTACGGTTTCTATTTGCAACTATGCTAAAGTCTAATAGTTTGTCTAGACCATATTATGTCTGGGAAAATACTTGGCAATACTTATCTGATGGAATTCTCTACAATCAACGAATAAGATTAAAGACTCCAGGTATTATTATTTTTTCCATTATTTACATTAGACACATTATATATATATTTTTAACATGAATAATTATACAATTATTTTTAAATTAACTTTACTATTGTACAGGTTTATCACTTAATGACGATCAGATTAAAAACTTGACGCTATATGAGATTGAAAAAATTCTACTCCAAAATAGTTCAAGCATAAGAGATTTTGTTGGGATGCCTTACCCTGATCATGATTTGGTATCTTCTACAAACAATCGTTTAATTACTGAGGAGTTAGATTTTGATATAACGATTCTATAAAAAGAATCTCATCGGCTACTTGAATCATTAACAGTTGAACAACGCTCAATTTTTGATGAAATCATGACAGCTGTTAGACAGAAAAAAGGAGGAGTGTTTTTTGTTTATGGCTATGGAGGTACTGGTAAAACTTTCCTTTGGAAGACTTTATCTGCATCTTTAAGATCTAAAGGTGATATCGTCCTAAATGTTGCTTCAAGTGGTATTGCTTCGTTGTTACTAACTGGAGGTAGAACAGCACACTCACGCTTTATAATTCCTCTAAATCTTACAGAGGATTCTTTTTGTTCTTTTGGGAAAGACAGTGATGTAGCCGAATTGTTAAAAAAAAAACATCATTGATTATATGGGACGAGACACCTATGATTCATAAGCATGCATTTGAAGCCTTGGATCGTTCTATGAAAGATATATTCACTTGTGATCTTCGTACCAACTCAAAGTTGCCATTTGGAGGAAAAACAATTGTTTTTGGAGGAGATTTTAGACAAATTCTACCTGTTATTCCTAACAGAAGCAGGCAAGAGATTGTTAATGCTTCTTTATGTTCCTCTTACATTTGGTCAAATTGCAAAGTGTTAACATTGACAAAAAACATGAGGTTAAGTGTTCTCGCATCCAATATTCAAGAAACGACAACTTTTGCAAAAATGGATTTTGGATATAGGAGAAGGAAAGGTTGGTGGTTTAAATGATGGAGATGCAATTATTGATATTCCTGATGATCTTCTCATTGTTGATTCTACTGATCCTATTGGTTCATTAATTGAATTTGTCTATCCTTCTATCGTTGAAAATGCCAAGAATCCGATTTATTTTCAAGAAAGAGCAATCATTGCACCGAAGAATGAAGTCGTTCAAGAGATTAACGAGCGTTTGTTAAAATTATTTCCGGGAGCCCAACAGGAGTATTTAAGTTCAGATAGTCTTTCACATGCAGATTTTGTTTATGATAACATTGATGAAACTTTATACTCCCCTGATGTTCTAAATGGTCTTAGACCTTCAGGTATGCCAATTTATAAGTTGGTATTAAAAGTCAGCGTTCCAGTTATGTTACTAAGAAATATTGATCAAAAATCTGGATTGTGCAATGGAACAAGGCTACGGGTTATTGCATTGGGCAAATGTGTTATAGAAGCTGAGATAATATCTGGAAGTAATATCGGAAATCGTACGTTTATTCCAAGAATGTCTTTGACGCCTTCGGATAAAAGGATTCCTTTCATATTTCAAAGACGACAATTCCCGCTGGCTGTATGTTTTGCGATGACAATAAATAAAAGTCAAGGACAGTCACTATCAAAGGTGGGGTTGTTTTTGAGACAACCAGTATTTACTCATGGGCAGTTGTATGTTGCATTGTCGAGAGTGAAGAGTAAAGATGGATTAAAAATATTAATTTGAGATAAAGATGGTAAACTTACCAATAAGACATCTAATGTTGTATTCAAAGAAGTCTTTGGAAATTTGTAATTCATAAAAATAAGTCTCAATATTTCAATGTTTGTTTTTATTATTATACATTATCTTACCTACTTATTCATCATTTTGTTTTTATATAATTAGCAATTTTTATTTAATTAATGTTTAATGTTTATAACATTATTGTCATCATCATTTTATAAATACGTACGTTTTTATTTTATTTATTTATATTTCGAAATAGTTAATTTATTCTTTATATATTTTTGTCTTTATGTTAAATTAATACTAAAAAAACATGTAATGTTTAACAAAATATATTAATTTTTTTTTTAAAAACCCGTGTATTACACGGGTCTCACACCTAGTGTATATATATATATATATATATATATATATATATATATATATATATAGAGAGAGAGAGAGAGAGAGAGAGATGTATGTTCCGTTGAAATTCAAAATAAATAGAGATCTCGAGATTCAACATCAGCCACATAATTCACATTTGCCGCTCTAAGCCTCCAGCGTACCGGCGCGGCTGGTCAGTAATAATCATAAATGATTATGTAGCACCGCTCTTTCCTTTCACCTCCACCACCTCCCCCTACCACCATAGCCGCCACCGCCACCACCATTACCACCACCTTTGCCACCAGCCGACCCCATCACTGTCACATCCGTCACTTATACCACTTCCACCTCTATCATCACCACCTCTTCTGCCACCAACTACTATAATCATATATGATTACTCAATATGTGAACAGACATATATGTATAATCATTTATGATTAAGCATACCCTACTGCTGTCGGTGCGTTGGAACGTTAAAACAGCAAATGAGAATCATGTGGCTGAGGTTGAATCTCAAGATCTTTATTTTTTTTAAATCTCAAGTGAATCGTCCATATATATATATATATATATATATATATATATATATATATATATATATATATATATATATGCTTAGGTTATTTATTCTAACTAATTATTGTGCGAGCGTATGGACAATGCTATTATTTGATAATGATAAAGAAAATATTTGTTTGATAATATAAATACGTTCAATCTTACATAACTATTGTCATTAACACACATTCTCACTAATTAAATCGTCTATAAGGTTATTATACACTAATTATTATTATTCTCATTTATGTCAGAATGTTGTCAGAATGTGTATTGGGTCGTATTCTGTCAGAATGAAAATGACTGAAAAGCGATGTGTGAGAACAAAAATAAATAATAATTAGCGAGAATGCATGAAAATGACGATATTTTTGTAAGGTTGAACGTATTCGCATTGCTAAACAACTTATTCTCTTAGTAATTCTCATAGAATAACATTGTCCTCACATCCGCACAATAATTAGTTAGAATACTTGAACCTAGCTATATATATATATATATATATATATATATATATATATATATATATATATATATATATATGTGTGTGTGTGTGTGTTCAAGAAAATAAAGAAGGTTGCAAATAAAAGAATTAATCTCAATTCATCATTTATTTTTGCCATAAAATGTTCCATCGTACTGACACGACGAATGATGAGCAATATGAATATATGAATATAAATGTAAGTGTGTTCATATATGAATCCACCACCTACACTCCGCCACCAACCACCACCACCTCTGCCATCAACCACCACAACCATCGCCACCTCCACCATATTCATATGAAAAACCACTTTCTCTATATTTATTTATATATGAATACACTTATTCATATATATAAATATATGAACATAATATTCATATATGTATTCAAATATGATCTATTCTGTCGGTACGGTATGCTGGAGCATTTAAGCAGTAGATTCGAAATGAGTGACTCAGATTCATTCTCTTATTCTCAACTTTTTTTTTTCAATCGAACCTCTCTCTTTATATATATATATATATATATATATATATATATATATATATATATATATATATATATATATATATATATATTCGTTTCTTTTTATAAAAGAAATTTCCAAGGATTGCTAATAAAATAATGGAAATAAAATTTTCTCATTTTCATCCGTTTAATTGACATGTCTAATGCATTATTATTATTTCTCATCTTATCTTTTAATTTTAACATCTTTTTTTAATTGTCTTTTTCTTAAAAGTAATGTTAACCGTAAAACTTGACTAAAATACAATACATGTTACTTAAAATATCTCGTTCCTCATATTATGCATTCATGGCAAGATTCTTGTTGTTCTGTACACTGCAACCGCGAGAATGGTATTTGTATTCCCAAGAGGGTCTTAGTATGCAATTGTCTATTTCTAACTTTAAATAATTATAATAATGCCTCTTTATTTTTTTCATTATCTGAAAAATATTTTTAAATTAATAGAATATTTGTATTGCTTATCACTTACTAGAAAGATAAGAGACTCAATATCCTTCTATTATATACTACCCGTTTACCCGCGCTAAGCGACGGGTATGAATAGAGGGGAGGGAGGGGTGAGTAATCTTGTTTTCGACGAATTGTTTCATTTTGACGGGAATACATTGTTATATAAGTGGCCTAGGGAAATAGTTTCCTTTTAGCAATTAGATTCTTTTCGGCATGCAGACGGTGGGTGGTAAAAATTTCGTTTAAGTGAATAGTTTTCTTTGGTAAACCTGGTTTTAAAGCACAAATAATTTAGTAGTCTAAGCGACGGTTGGGAATTGTTTTTTTCAAAAATTAGTTTGAAGAGTTATTATTTATATTCTGCAATGAATGTTTAGAAAACCTTCTATCATCTTTTAATTAAATCAACAACATTTTGATTTATTCCATTAAGTACTGGATTTTTTTTGCCATTAATGTTTTAGATTTATTCCATTATTTTAAAAATAAACTTTTATACCCTAAATAGTTAAAAGGTAAAAAATAATAATTTTAGCGATTGAAGAATTGGCTTACCAAAATGCATGTAAATTCCATTTTCTTTTCTCATCTTGATGTTATACACCACTTTGTGAAATTAAATGGTTGAAGTGGTAACACGATGAACAATCCTTACAACCATTATTAAAACCATATAACTAACCGGAGCATATCACCACAAAATATAGAACACTCTAATTCTTTTTTTTTATTGTTATTTTTCGTGTATATAAGCTAACCGAAGCATATCACCATAAAAGATAGTATAAGGAACTAAAAAGACCACATACACAAAAAAAAACATTACTAAAACCATATAACTTTTTTTGTGTGTGTGTGTGTGGGGGGGGGGGGGTTGTGATATGCAAATTGGCAACAACCTCCACCATAAATAAGTTTTTTAACATGGAAGGACATAGTGAACACAACACCTTTTAAAAAGACATATATTTATCATGCAACCACCCCATCAGAAGAAAGGTCCCAAATGGTCTCCAATTGAGTGAGGCAAAGTAACAGAAGAATGAAATTAACCAACTTTAACATCAGGGACAGCAAAAATCGTCCGGTTCATTGTCAAGGTCAACATCATTTTGATTAACACATACCTAAAAAGAGAAATAAACATTAATCCATGAAATTAAAAAAATCATATGTACCCAATTCTTTATA